TAAAATTCACTGCACTCCAAAATTGACATGCAGATTGTGAAGCTTAAAGGCTCAGTGCATGAATAATTTAAAAAGCAGAGCAACACAGAGGTACTCACTATGTGCTAAAATTGGGGTGTGTGAGATGGACATTGTGCATCAAGTGGAATAACTCAGGTTGCTTTTTAAAACGAGGACATAGATGTGCGCATATATTCATGATGTGTAGAGTCATATAATTGGAAGAGACCACAAAAACCATCCAGTCCAGTCCCGTCGTGCAGGAACACTCAAAGCACTCCTAACAGATGGCCACCCGGCTTTTGTTTTAAAATCTCTAGAAAAAGCTCTTCCACCACACTCAGAGGCAGCATATTCCACTGTTGAACAGCTCTTACTGTCAGGCAGTTCTTTCTAATGTTTAGATGAAATAATTTTTCCCCTACAGTTTGAATGCAATGCTCCATGCTCTAGTCTCTAGAGCACCTGGTATTAATTTGTGGTGTCTGACCAAAGTACTAAACAGAGTTGACCCTAGGTTCTTGTGGTTTTTTTCGGGCTATAGAGCCATGTTCTAGAGGCATTTTCTCCTGACATTTCGCCTGCATCTATGGCAAGCATCCTCAGAGGTAGTGAGGTCTGTTGGAATTAGGACAATGGGTTTATATATCTGTGGAATGGCTGGGGTGGGGCAAAGAGCTTTTCCCTGCTGGAGCTAGGTGTGAATGTTTCAACTGACCACCTTCATTAGCATTTGAAGGCCTGCCTGAGCCTGGGAAAATCTCTTGCTGAAAGGTGTTAAGATGTGCCTGGTTGTTTCCTCTCTGTTGTTTTGCTGTTGTAATTTTAGAGTTTTTTAATACTGGTAGCCAGATTTTGTTCATTTTCATGGTCTCTTCCTTTCTGTTGAAATTGTCCACATGCTTGTGGATTTCAATGGCTTCTCTGTGTAGTCTGACATGGTGGTTGTTGGTGTGGTCCAGCATTTCTGTGTTCTCAAATAATATGCTGTGTCCAGGCTGGTTCATCAGGTGCTCTGCTATGACTGACTTCTCTGGTTGAAGTAGCCTGCAGTGCCTTTCATGTTCCTTGATTCGTGTTTGGGCAATGCTGCGTTTGGTGGTCCCTATGTAGACTTGTCCACAGCTGCATGGTATACGGTAGACTCCTGCAGAGGTGAGAGGATCCCTCTTGTCCTTTGCTGAACGTAGCATTTGTTGGATTTTCTTGGTGGGTTTGTAGATTGTTTGTATGTTGTGTTTCCTCATCAGCTTCCCTATGCGGTCAGTGGTTCCCTTGATGTATGGCAGGAACACTTTTCCTCTGGGTGGATCTTCATCGTTACTCTCGTGGCTTGTTCTTGGTCTTGCAGCTCTTCTGATGTCTGAGGTGGAGTATCCATTGGCCTGAAGAGCCCAGTTGAGGTGGTTCGGTTCATCTTGGAGGAGGTGGGGTTAGCAGATTCTTTTTGCACAGTCTGCCAAGGCTTTAATGGTGCTTCTTTTTTGACTTGGGTGATGGTTGGAGTTTTTATGTAGATATCTATCTGTGTGTGTGTGGGTTTTCTGTAGATGGTGTGACCCAATTGTTGATCTGGTTTGCAGATAACTAGGACATCTAGAAAAGGCAGTCTTCCTTCATTTTCCTTTTCCATTGTGAATTGGATTTTTGGGTGGATGCTGTTAAGATGATCCAGGAACCTGTTGAGTTCTTCTTCTCCATGGCTCCAAATGGTGAAGGTGTCATCCACATATCTGAACCATATAGTGGGCTTTTTGGTTGCTGTCTCCAGGGCTTGTTTTTCAAAGTGTTCCATGTAGAAGTTAGCTATGACCGGGCTGAGAGGGCTCCCCATAGCTACTCCATCTTTCTGTTCGTAGAATTCATTGTCCCACTGAAAGTAACTGGTGGTGAGACAATGGTGAAACAGAGCCGTGATGTCTTCTGGGAACCTCTGGTTGATGAGTGCCATGGTGTCTGCTACCGGGACCATGGTAAATAGAGATACCACATCGAAGCTGATCAGTTTGTCGTTGGTATTTAGCTTGAGATTGCTGATTTTTTCTATGAAGTGGGCTGAGTCCTTGATGTAGTGTGTAGTGAGCCCAATATGGCTTTGTAACTGTGCAGCAAGAAATTTTGCTAGGTCGTATGTGGGGGATCCAATGGCACTCACGAGTTGACCCTGCTTAGCTTCCATAGATTAGCTGGGATTTGGTACCTTCGTGGTATTTAGGATACCTCATTGTAAAAAATGACTGCAAAAATACCAGATGGGTAAGCTTTGCATTGTCTCCTAGCCACCAGTTTCCTTGGGCTCAGAATATATAAGTTGAAATTTGTAACTAATTAAGTTTCTAATGTGATGTGATGCTAATACAATGTGCCTATAACTAGGATGCCCGATTATTTCAATAACCTCACCATTCGCTCCTTATTTAACCCCAGGATAGAAATTGCCACAAACACGTGAAGAGTATTTTTAGTAGAATCATAGAAGAAGAGTAGTTGTTATCATCCTTTCTCTACCTTGCTTCCTCCACCTGGAGCTATTTACATTTTTTTCAGTGGTTAATTTTTAATTTCATGTAATTATCATGTTGAGCTTGACCCAGGATCATGCCCAGATAATATCTTTATTAGACCCAACTATAATGTTACAAAATAGTGAACAAACTCCTTTCAGTTCTCCGATCAGACTAAATAACACACTACATAGGAGAAAGGGATGAGAGGGAGTGGGAAGGAATTGATGCTGGTAATTAATTGTAGGCATAATGGTTATACCATAAAGCCAGCTTTTTATCTCTAATAATAATAACAACAACTTCTATTTTATGTCTTATAATAATAACAACAACTTTTACAAGAGGGACTTTGGGCGGCTCACAAAACACTCAAGGTGTGACATGCAAAATACAACAAGTGCACAACAAAACATACGAGTAGACAATAAACAATCAACACAACATCATAAAAACAATAAAATACAACAGTTGCTGTAGATAAAACAGCAATATTCAATCTCAATGTGTGTTCAGTCTCAATGTGCTGTGTACCGTCCAGGTTATTGAAGTGTTTTGGAGAATCCAGAACCCTGTCATCGTGAAAGTATTTGAGATTTTGGATTTTTTTCCCCTTGGCTATAGATTTAGGTTTTTTCTGAGATACTACATGTGTCATTTGCTCTGAGGAAAACATAACCCATCATTCTGAAACTGTTCTCAGCTAAACCAGCCAAAAATGCTGGTTCAAACAAGAAGCAAAGATATACCCATTGTTCCTGAGTAGAGCTAGAAAAGATTCCAGAAATAATCTCATTGTAGGTCAGCAGCTGTTATAGAAGTTAATGTTCTGGGACACACACAAAAACATGTGATGTGTTTAGAATGTTTTAAATGCAGCAATAAATAATATTTTTATATATTTGCAGAAAATCCTAGGAGAGATTCCTCTTTTCAGGAAGTAAATGTAGGTCAGACATGGATTTGAAGAGAAGAGGATGTGGGAGTTTTCTTGTAAAAAGATGTATAATTCACTTTCTCATGTAGAAATCAGTTTGGGGTTGAGAACAGAAGGCCCTGAATCACTATTAACCTACTAGAAAAGAATGATCAAAGTTAATATTGGATTGATTGATTGGTGGCTGTACCAGTGCGAACTTCCTTTCTAACAGCATTAGAACTAGTAGTGGATTCTCAAGAGTACAGAAAATAGAAGCTGTATACATTTTCTTTCCTAATGTAAGGCAGCAAGGTGTAGCTCAGTCTAATACATGTGCTTCAGTTTCATGTTAATTGTAGCAGACATTGCTTTGTGTAGATAACATGGACTAAATGCCAGAAATATTCTTAATTAGGTCTAGTAGAAACGTTTTGGAATGTTTTTTTATAATGTTGATACTAATGTCACTGTTCCTCTACGAAATGCAATTGAAAGTTGCAAAGTGAAACTATTTCATTTGTTTTCTCCTTAATATTGTGTGCTGAAAGCATGAAATTGAGGTGTTCACTCCTGGAGCTAATCTAGAACTCTTACATTCAACTGTATTTACATGCCAAAAGCTTCAATCCATGCCTACCACATGTTCCCACTTAAATGAAATGATAGGACACAAAATAGGGAGTGGTCAACCTCCCTGTTTAAACAACTCCACTGGCTGCCAGTGAGTTTCCAGGACACAGTAAAATGTTAAGAGATCAAATAGGCAGATTTCCCTTTCACTCCCCATGCCTCTTTTTTCTTTTGATTTTATGTCTTAGTGGTTCTTCTTTTCCCACATGTTCAAAAGGACACACTCACCTTAGGGCTGATTTTTGTTTGAGCTTTCCTGTTTCTTTTAGTTTCCTACCAAATGTTCCTCTTTGAAACTTACAGGCAAAGAACCACTCAGATTTTGGAGCAGTTAAAAGAAAATTCCATTTTAAAAAAGACGATAATGTTTGGAATAATGTATTTCTTTCTCGGGCTGATTTGTACAGCTCCCTGCAATAAGTGAAAATGTAACGGCAGCATTATATATATATATACACACACACACACACACACTTAAATAGCACTTGTAGAAATTAAATTGATTATCATTGTTAAAAATGTGGTAAGTCTGGAAATTTAAGTATCAAGATATCATAGTAGATACCTAAATTATTCCAGCTGCTGGTATAGAGCAATTTGACCTGATGACCTTGCATTTGTCTAGAGGTTGTTAATTAGATGTCAAATGCTTTGATCTACAAATAGAATTTGTAGTTTTGTTTTTGGTAGATAATTTAAAATTAAAATTTAAAAGGTCATTTATAAATGTTTATATGTTTGAAAGCGTTACAATAACTGTGCTATTATGAAAGAGCTTGGCACCATATTTTGAAGTTGAATTTTTCTGATTGAAGGAAATGGTAGTGTCTGTCTTTGTCCTGTGTGTATTGGTTTAGCAGAGATCATCAAGATTCTTAAGAAATTTCCTTAAAATAAATTGTTTAGTTGAGAGAATTTTAATGCATGCTATATTATTTCATTTCCAGGTATGTCAGAACACAGCGACAATTCCACAACTGTTGATGGACCTCACCAGGCTCCAGAAGACATCCAGTCTGACTCTGAGGTGATTGGGTGATACATGTGGTAGTGGCTATTTGAAAATCAACCAATCCCGTGACAGGCTCAGACTGGAAAAGCACTTTCTATTTTTTTTAACATATAACAAGAAAATATATGTTAAAAAAACATGGATTCATAGCCATTGATGAATCATTAATTATTGTTGTGAGCTTCTGTCAAGGAAGAAAAGTCCTTCAGAAAGTACCTCTTATAGCTAGCAAGCTGTTATTTTGGAGGAGAAATATTGCCTTTCTCATCTCAAATCTTAATCAGTCAAATGGGCATACTGGTTGGGCATCACAGGAATTGTATTTCACTGTTGCTTAAGTGTAACAGTTGGGAAAGGCTGATGTAAAGTGCACAGCTTCTCCCTTGGCGACTGAATTATTTCTTGCAAAATGCTGTGTTGAGCTTAGGAACCTAGCAAACCTTTTATGTTATTCAGATGCATAGACATTTCAAACTATCAGATGAGATATGTTTACTTTATATCAAGTAGTTGCTTTGTTGCTTCTAGATTTTTGTTAGAATAAAGACAGAGTCATCTTCATTTTATCCCTTGTATTATTACTAATTTTGCATAGATAGGTGTACCAAAGCCTGTCAGTGGTTTTTAGAACAGTGTTGGGGAGGGGGAGCTTTACAGGACTTTAAAGTTAAACAAAATCCCATGTTAAAGTATATATTACAAAATTAGAGTGTTCAAGTAGTGTTTGTTTCTTGGTTCTGTAAGTATAAGAAGGCCACGAGTAGACTTTCAAATGAGGAATGCTAATATAAAAGATATTTAGAATAAATTTAGCTGATTAAATTGGACCTAGTTGAATTAAAATTGCCATTGCTTTCTCGGGTTTTAGAACTCATTGTAATGTTAATACGGCTGTAGAGCAGGGGTGAGAATCAGGTGGCCCTCAAAATGTTGTTGAAATTCCAGACATTCATCATCATTGTTCTGACTATAGCTGCTCTCAACGTCCTAAGACCTCATCAGACAGACTTTTGGCTCTGCTTCCATGTACTGGAGAGTCCCATATGACATAAGGTCACTTCCGATGTGAGTCCACGGCACTCTGTTTCCATAACTTATGGAGCCAAAAATCCAACTTCAGGAGTCAAGTGTTACGGCTTAAAACAGGGAAAGGTGGACCACCCAAGAAGACTGGGGAAAATGGTAGGGGACGAAGTAAGACAGTTCCCTCTGCTTCCCCCCACTCATGAGTCCCTACTCCAGCATTTAAATCACTTATATTTATACTGCTTCTCTATTGTATCATAAAGAAACATTAAACCTGCAAATGGCAATACTATAATAGCGTTCCTAGCATTAACGCAGTGGATGTCAGTAAGCGTTGAGCCTCATTGAGGAGGTTTGGACTGTTGTGAAAGCTTCTTCCCTAATAGTTCTCCACTGAAGTATGGCAACTACAGAAGCCTGGAGTTGTCAAAAGCAGTGTTGCCATCCTCAGTGAGCCATGGACTTGTATGCTGTCTCCCCTCCTCTGATGCAATTAGGAGGTGATCAGAACCTTCTGTTTCACTGTAGTTTTAATGTTTTTTTCTGAACCCTAAGACCTAATTAATCTTAGCTGCTAGTTTATGAAAACATGTTGGCTACATAAATCATGAGTTGTAAATGTGTTTCGTAAATATAGTTAAGACTAAGCCCAATTTGGCCATATTTGGATGGATAAAGTATGCCCTATGTCACTTCCAGACTGAACTTTGGAAGCCCTTGTGACCTTTAGAGCTTCCAGAAACTTTGTAAAAGTTGTAGTGTGAAGCCATCAGGTTTTTAAAAGAAAGAAAAGAATGCTTTATGTCTGTGACAGCATGTGTTATATTTATAATAACTAAACCATATAAATTAATATTTTAGTAAATGCTAACAATAACTGGCCTCCTGATGTAGAATTGGTGATTAAATATGACCACTATATGAGAAAGTATGTATTTCATCTGTTTTTTTTTTCATGACAAACCAAACACTGCTATTTTGAGGTAGGAGGAAAGCTAATACTCAGCTATTCTATATTTGGTAATGCTCAAGCAGTCCTCACAGGAGAAGGGAGGGCAAATTAGGAAACCTTGCTTTGTGGATTTTTTTCTTAAACCCATATAGTAGGGAAAATAATTTTCTTTTTATGAATATTCTTAGTAGACAATGTATCTTTATGTCTAGTTCTTTGCCTGTTTACTTAGAAGCACATCTTGCTGGAACTTGTTCTGACTGAACATGCATAAATCTTGGGTGTTCATATTTTGTTTTGAACTAAAACAATGGGAAGCGAAGTGTTATACTAGTTCAGCTGGTAATTCTCTTTGTATTTCAGCTGTAGATTTCTCTGACTGAATTGTGATTCATGAAACTGGAGACTGAAGTGAATGAGAGTATTTTGTGTTCTTAAACAGAATTTTGTATAAATAACATACATGGAAAAACTAATTACAGTATGATCCCTGTATCTGTAGGGGATACATTCCGGATCTTACTGTGATAAGTGAAACTTTTGGATAGTAGCAAACCCTATTGAACAAACAACTTTAGGTAAAAGCATGCACTAGAAATGGTCTCACTAAGTCTTCCAGCGTGACTCTATGGTCAATTTTGTGTGGAGACATACCATAGAGTCCCTAAGAAAGGCCTAGAGAGAGCATATATTGTCAGATATGGGTAAATGAAACCACAGGTATCAGTCCTGTTTGTTTCCCTATTTGGGATATTTATAATGTATATTGATAGTGTGGCAGGGAAGTCTACATTTCATTTTAATCAAAAAGGAATATGTGGAGGCATACTTGATAAACATATATATCAGTTGGTATTTCTTTGTTCCATCTCCCTTGCTGAAATGGTGTTGTTCAATCCCTGTAAACAATACATTCTGCTTATACTAGATGGATTTTCTGACTGTTTTTTAAAGGTATAATTTGTATGCTGCTCTGGCTTCATGTTTGCCTGTTGTGGTCCTCTGTCACATTCTCATAGGAGTAACTGTCAGAACTGTTGTCTGTGCGATAAGTTATTTGTATTACTTTCATAAAATAAAGTACTGTATAATCACAATACTGAATTCTGCATGGAAAATGCAAGCGGTTTTCCTTTAAAAAAGGAATAATATTAATGATTCATCCTATCTTCATCATTGACAGGGATGATAAAGTTAAGATATGAATATAGATTTTCCCTGGTAATGAGATGTTAATTAAGCTTCCTTATTCATGTTCCTTAATTCCAGTGAAGACTAAAATCTTGCTTATGTAGGTTTTTTTTCTTTGTTAATATTTCACTCAAAGCTGGAAATGTACAGTGAAAGAATATTTAGGAGAAGCATCTGAAATATGTAAGTGTGCATTCACTTTCAAGTTGTATGTTGAGTTTTGTTGACCCTGCGAATTCCATTGGGTTTGTTTAGCAAGGAATATCCAGGGTTGGTTTTACCAGTTTCTTCATTTGAAATATAGCCTACAATACCTGGCATTTGTTGACCATCTCCCATCCAAGCACTCACTGTGCTTAGCTTTCAAGATCAGCCAGGATCTCATGTTCTTAAGGTATTTTAGGCCCTACAATGAAAAATAATTATATGCTTTAGTTATCAATTTGGTAACTGGCATAATGTGTATTCTTAACACATAGACTGATACTTGTTCTTCAAATTAAAGTTTTCAGTTTTGGAATAGCTTTACAAACTGGTTTGGTTCAAGACCAGAGTTATAAAGTTTCTTGTAGGGACTATATTTGAGGCTAGAAATACTTTTTTTAAAAGATTCTGTGCCTTAGATTACCTTTTGAAATAAATATTTTAGTATATTTAAATGATGAAATGTGGACATTTAATTGGTGAAAAAAATATTATTGAAGTTGGGAATGTTTTCTTTAAAAATGACTTGTGATTACTCGTGATCATTGCCCATCATTGGCAATGAGTTAGCAATGCATTGGCAATGGTATCTATCTATCTATCTATCTATCTATCTATCTATCTATCTATCTATCTATAGAGAGAGAGATTTAAACATTTATGTTGCAAAATAATTACTACTGTATGTTTGCAAAATAATGTACTACTGCCTTCAAATCTGGTGCTTTTAGGGGTGCGGCAGGCCAGTTTCTACATTAATTCAAAAATGGGCACAGTACATAAGAGTTGCCACTTGAGGGCACTATCTGACCAATATTATTCACATTTCAGGCTTCCCCAGAATGAAACAGCTCTATTCTACCAATTTTTGTGGTGTGGCATTTGTTGTGTTACAGGGTTAATTTTGTTTTAATTTTGTAAATTGCCTTGAAAACAGGGTGAATGGCTGTCTAAGAATTCTTTTAAAATGTTGTCTTAACTATTTCATGTGTGCTTCACACACAAACACCCAAACACCAAAGGAAGAGGGTCCCAAGAAAACCCCCAAATTAAGTTGTTGGTAGAGTTCAAGACAATTTTAATTATTACATTGGCTGTAATTTAAATGCCATCATAAATATTTGGAAAGTCATTATTTCTCAGCTAAACAGCACTAAAATGTTTGTGTAGGGATGTTAAGCAAGTGCAGCCATGCCACAAATGACTTGTTAGAGCAAGTATTTCTTCTGGATTTATAGCTTGCCAGACTAGCTGCTCAAACCAAACAGATTTATCTTGTATGAGTGGAAAGCAACGCCCCCCCCCCCTTTTTTTCTTGGCAGGTTTGCCAAAGACCTCACATGATTTTTGCCAGTTGGGTGCATCCTACACGCCTACTCCAGTTTTAGAAACAAAATAAGGACATGTTTGTATTGCATATAATCAAAACAGGCCAGAAAGATATTTGGTTTTGTACTGTATAGTAGGCTTCTTTGCACCCTGTTTTCCTTTATGTCTCTCTCACCAAAATACAACACAGGGCAAATCAAATACAAATCAGGCAATACTTTTGTGGGGTGGGAAGAACTGAAGAAGAGATGGTGTCTCCAGATATCAGACAAAAGAACATGCCAGGAGTAGAGATCCTGGTGGCATAAAAACT